CTCTAGTCTTACCAACCAGAGGTAAAAACTTAACAATCATAAGCAAGGAGCCAAAGCCTCTGGACCTTAACGACCAGAGGCAAGGAAGACCAGAGCCCTTTTGGACCTTAACAACCAGAGGCAAGGAACCAAAGTCTCTCGTCTTACCAACCAGAGCCTGTGGTCCTAAACAACTAGACAGGTCGTCCTTATCATCCATAGGAAAGGCCGACCAGAGCCCCTCTGGTTTGGTCCTTAACAACAATAGTCAAGGAACCAGAGCTTATGACTTTAATCCTTTGGTCCATCTCTTGTCCATCGTGAAGTCTGATCCTCGCGAGCTCTAGTCTTTGAGGTTTTGATCTTAGGGAGCACCATGTAGAGCCTCCGGCTCGCCTATATAGAGCTCTGCATGACGACATTTATGATCCGTCTCTGATCCCCCTTTGATCCGTATGATCAATTTTCCACTACAATGCAAGGGGTGCATCCTCTTAACTCCTACCAGAGTCATACTCGTCTTATAACAAGTGTGCACTCCACATCTCCCGACTTGTATTAGAACACACTGCACCTCCTGAATTGTATTAGAACACAATACAAACCCCCCCCCCCTTAGAACTCGATGTTATTTCTAATTATACTTAAATGACCTGATGACACCAAAATCGCCAACATTTTCAGGTCATGAAAAGCGTGTCGTTGGATTAGCCACATGTGGTGGTTAATCAAGGCATCGATCCAAAAACCACAACCACTCCCTCTAAAAAAAATTATAGAAGCCCAATAAAATATCCAATTTTAAATTATTAAATCCTTAAACTATTTTTTCCAATAAAAAGACCATTAAACTTTCTCATTTTAAATGATTGGATACCTGAACATTTTCTTTTGTAATAAACAAACAATCATGCTTTTAAGAATTAGTCATCTACATCATTTTAACAACAAAAAATCATATGTAACTGACTAGAAAAATCTTATAGTTAAAAAGAAACCTAAATCACTTTCATCATTTTAAACCACGCCCTTCAAGCCCCTTGCAAATAACGGTATCATTCCCTTTCGTCACTACTTGCCACCTCATCATTGTTTTTTCTTCATGTCAACTATCAGAGTTACCCCCTATGATTGATTCTCTCTTTTTGATATATTTTCGAAGGGTTACAAGTAATTTTAGCTCAATACTATTTTAATCAATAAAAAGATAATTTTTTAAGGTTAAAAAATCGATGATTTATTTTTTAGCATATTTTTTTTATTATAAGTTGGTAAAGGTATTTAATGTGTTTGAAATATGCAGAGAGAGATATTACTACTGTACCCTTTAAATTTTGAATAATCTTCATCTTGTTTGCATGTGGGTTCAAGAGGCATGTACACAGCTACTTGCATTAATTGAAGACAGTTGCAATTGGTGAGACATGGAAGACTGCTAAATTTTCACCTTTAACATTTATGATAAATAATCAATATGATTGTGGGGTTTTTTTTTCTCTTAGTGAAACAACTGAGAATTTGAGAACACAAGATTTTAGACGTATTCTTCTTCTTTCCTTCTCAGTCTTTTAATACGATTCACTCATGGACCATCTACTTATGATGGTTAATCAGGTAGTCGAATACCAGCTCAACATTTTCTACATCTTGTATTTTTGGACTCTATATATACATATATAATTATGTTGTATATAATAATATTTATTTACTTACGTTTATATATAAATTTTAATGTATATCTTATTCTCTGGCTTTGTGATTTTATAAATAAAGTTTGTACGGTATTGAAAAAATAAAAATATTTTCAACTGTTTACCGGTTCTTTGAAGTATCTTGATATAAAAAATTCACGTTTTTTATATAATTGTTCACTTTAATGTTTTTATTATAATTTTAATTTATTCAAATTTTGTAATGAAATTCTAATTTATTTCAATTTTAATGATGGATTGTTTCTCTTATAAAATTAATAATGAATACTATAAGATGAATGATTATTTTAATGGTATTTTCAATATTTTATATCTAAAAATTGTTTATCTTATATTCGATAATATTTATCAATTATTTGTATTAATATACAACTTTAAAGAACTATATTCATGTACTACTTATTTGTAATCTTAAGTTTTAAATAGCATACATCGTTATAGTATTTAATACATAAAAAATAGTTTTTAACCTCAAATGTTTTATAACACAATATAGATACAATATTTTTTTAAATTTTAATTTTTAATACTCTATTCTTAAAAGGGGCTGTTTGGTAGCCTCTTAATGGTGACATTAAGAGGGAACCTCTTAATCGGTGAGAGGCTAGGGTTGTTTGGCATAAAAAATTTAGCCTCTTAATGGTGACAATTATCTCTTAACGGTTTAGCATCCAAAGGTTCGCCTAATGGTTCAGATCCATTTTCTTCCTTATTTGCCCTTCACTTTCACGCCTCCTATCACATTCCTCCCACTTCACTTTCACGCCTCCATCGCCTCCTATCAAATTCCTCCCACGCCGATGATCCTTTCTCTCTATCTCTCCGCCGAGTAATCGTCTCCCCGCGACGATCCTCTCTCTCTATCTCTCCGTCGAGCTATCTCTCACAGCAAACCAAGATCAAATGAAAACCACCAGAGATGGAATCTGTAGATTGTTTTCCTCCCTGCACCAACAAAGACCACCACACTACCACTACGTATTAGCAAACCAAGACCCAACCAATCATTTTGCATAAATTAAATCTGTGAAACTCCATCTCAGTCGGTTGCATAAATCGGGAACCCCAGATCTCCATCTCCATTTAAGCCGGCCACCGCCCCAAGTAGGTGAACCTTCCCCCATCTCTATATTTCCGGCAAAGAAACACCCTCCTGTTTCAGCAATTGTCCCAATTGTGGAATCATCCCCCGTCGGTGAATCTTCCCACATCTCCAGATTCCGGCAAACAAAGTCAAAAAACCTATTTGTGTGGAAAAAAAGTCAAAAAACTTGGTGTCCATTTTTTGTCTTTCTATTTTTTTATTAGAGGGTTAAAATGGTAATTTATTATCAATTCAGAGAACAGTTACCAAACAACATTATTTCATTCAGCACTTAATCATTCTGGCCCTCTTAACCATTCTGACCACTTAACCATTCTGCACTAACCATTCAGCAACTGCCAAACAGCCCCTTACTCTTATATACTACTTTTTCGGTCCTAAAATAATTATCCACAATTAACATGACACAGTTTTAAGCATTTATTAACATTTTCTTGTTTATTTTATCTTTCACTACTCTCGAATATTTATGCATCATCAAAATTAAATTTGTTCCTTATTTTTAAAAGTTGTAAAATTTTTTTTGAAGACAACATAAATAAAAATATCGACAATTATCGGATATAAAAAGGAGTAACATTTCTTAACAGAAATAAGATAATAACAACAACATACTTTAATGGCATATTCTCAAATTTGAAAAGGAAAAAAAATAGAAGCAAAAGAAAGAAAGAAAATAAAGGAATATAATTATTTATTTATGTTTTCGAAATGAAGTAAAAGATAAAAAAATCGTGTTATTGAAAAAGAGAGAAGAAAGAGAAAATATATTATTTTTAATAATAGATCCCTTAAAGAATATGTTTTTTAATATAAAAGATTGACTAATTTTGTATTTTTTATAATTTTCTAATAACTTTTCATCCTTTTCCTCCTATATTCAGGAGGAAACTTATCATTCTTTTCTTTCTCCCTTCAAAAAAATTCAAGAATACCAGTTATCTATTTTTTTTTTTAAGAAAGAGGTTCCAAAAACACAACATTAGTATACCAACACAAGAAACAAATACTATTCAAATTTTGGGGTAAAATCCATGGACCAAAAAGTAGATTGCTTACCTCAGAAGAGGGAAATCCAGGCGGAATCGAACCACCATCCTCCCATACATATGTATGGGCGCTCTTACCACTTGAGCTTATGGATCTATCTATTGAATTTAATCAAATTCCGGGACGGATCATCAAATGCCGATTAAGCAATCCAAGGCAGAAGTTGCCCCTTTTCGTCATCTTCATATTATGTCATCAATAACCAAGGTAGCATAAAATATGTCATGACATGACTCTTGTTCAAATTAAACGAGTCACGACAATCAAGTTTTTCAAGACCTAACTTTCTGTCTTTAATAAATTCTCTAAAATAAAAATAAAAAAAGTTCGAAATATTAGTTAAAAGGTTTTTTCTCCAACAAATTCTCTAAAAACTTCTTAGGAGCAAGTAGATGGGAGCAACATTCTCCCAACTTCAGAAAAAAAAAATTATTTCATCAAACATATAGAATACTTTAACGATGAAAAGGATATTAGAAGGCGGTAGGTAATTTATATATAGCTTTTAAACTTTGATTTTCTACTTGCAAAATTTTCAAGAGGACCTGGCAAGAGGTACCCGGTATAACAACAAACATGCAACATATATACCTAAAATAGTTTCCTTCATCAATAATAWTGAACCACCAAAATTAGGTTAAAAGACGCTAAAGATGAAACAGAAAAAGAAAAAGCAGACATGATATGGCCGCAGCAAAGCAACTGCGTAACAAGCCTCTTAACAGCCAACGAAGCTTCGAGTCATACCAACCTAAACCACACACACTTGAGACAATATGACTCAGCCAGTGGAGGCATCGTCATGGCACACTCGAACCAACTTGCAGAACCTCATACCCTATCGCTACCGAGCAACTTCCATTGTATGAATCTAATTCTTTTCTGTTTAAGATGAAAAGCCAGATCATAATCGATTCTTTTCTTCTACAACAGCCGTTGTAACACAATTTTGGACCACTCATGAAAATTTTAGTTCCTACACTCGTCTACATGAAAGATCATAGCATCTAGACGAACAATTTCCATCTCTCAACATCTAAATAACATGGATTGGGAAAATGATGCATAATCAGTCGAGTCATGCATTCTCAAGCAGGTTTTGATGATGTTGATGCATTGAATGCATCAAAGCAGGTTTTGATTATGATGATATCTGACAAGAAAATCACTCGATAGAGGTATATTTAGCAATATATAAAAATACAATCCAAATACGACTTCCAAAAACTAAAACATAAAAATGCTGTCCATCCGATTGTCAGAAATAAAACCAGCAAACGAGTTACCAACCTCCTACGAGGATGTAACGAGGCACCATTATACAAGGATGTAACAAGGCACCATTATACACAAGGATGTAACAAGGCACCATTATACATAAGGATGTACCTAACAGATGTTGGGAAACTGATCACTGCACGGACCTAACGCATCACCATAACCTTCGAAACACGGCATCCATCTTCACCAATGTATCCACGCAAAAGGTCATCTTCATCTCCTAAGAAAAGATTAAACAAACATCGCTCATATGAAGCTCCGAACCACAAATCTAGTCTCTGTTCCCCATTCATCCACCCAACTGTCCTTCGGTCACTACAATAAGCCACGCAAGACTCCATAGGAATCAACAGTCCCTTCAACAAAATAACTACAATGACATAGTACAAATAACTTGACACTACTACTCGATACCAACAAAAACAAGAAAACAGCGCCTAACACCAAGTAAATACAAACGATAGACGCCTTCTGCTGGTCAAAACATAACTCAAGAAAATACATACAAGTTGCTCGATTCAATCCATAAACTGCTAGACGCTTCGAGTATGCATATGCCAAGTATAGAGCAGAACCATTAACTAAAGAATGTAAACAATACTTGAATGAACAAACAGATTAGCTTGGAGCAAAACAGCAGTACAACAATTCGTTCAATGACCAAGATAAACTGCAAGTAATTAAATTGTGAAATAGCCGCGTAAAAGAAGCGTACGAGGATAGTATAAGAGCACAACCACGATCGCTTCTTTACAAAAACAAAATTGAATTAACAACGCCTTACCTCAAGGAAACTGCTGAGTAAAGATGCATTTGGTAGCGTAAAACTGTAAATTTGAAGGGAGTAACGGATTGTTTGTACCTTAAGCCTCGGTATTGATCCCCCAGTGTTTGATGCGGTGTTCATTATGTTATGAGCATGAATCATGATCTGTTTAGAAGTGCTGCGGTGCGAAATATGTTAGAGCATTTGCCACAGGTTACTTAATTTTGGAAGAAAATTAGCACCAAGACCTACGTTTGAGATATTTGGTCAGATAGGTAGASGAGCAACAGAGAGAGAGAGAGGAGGGCGACAGGAACACACAAGGAAGGAGAGCCGGGCAACCCCCGTACCTTCTCCTTCCATCAAAACAAAAAGAACAATTTCATTAAGACTTTTTTATGACCTGCCATGCAAGCGCACCTGACATGGCAAAGGCCGGACTCACAAAACAAGGAAATTAACGCACACAACACCGCAGATCTTACAAATTAACCTTTCACCTCTCCCAGCGGACACATCCCGCACTATTTTCTGGCAACTTTCGACTATATCTACATGATATGCATAGCATCACGAGGAAGTCGAACAACAGCGATCAATYACAACGATTTTTTCAACTTTTCGATGGTCAATGGTTCGACAAGCGAGGCCGAATAAGATGATGATAAGATCCAAACAGATATAATCGGTCTTCATCAAACTCCTCTAGCTGTTGACTCCATATATCTTCTCTTCAAATCAATTGATTGGACACTTCGATCAAGAAACGCCAGTAGCACATGGATCTGCCAAATAAACAAGAAAATTGATAAGACAGAACATCAGTAAAGAAAAACAAACTAGAAAGCTTAAAACCACAAAAAAAAATCGACGAAAGCATCTCAGATAAGAGAATAATAGATCGGCGGACGGAGAAGAAACATGAATCAAGCCTTCAAAAAAATTCAGCCAATCATAACCAAATTAATCGATTAAATAACAACAGAGTTTCATCAAGACATATAACAAACCTCTGTCTTCTGAAACAGCAGACCGGGATACTGATCTTCGATAAGAACAACAGCCGGCAGCGATCGAATCATAGAAACACATGAAATCCATAGCCGAAAGGTAGATCTAAGATCGATCTAAACGAATACACTATTACAATCGTCTGAAGCCGTAAAGATAAAATCAAGATCTGCAAAAGAACTCTGCAAGAATCGTCGTCCACAGAAGAGCACGTTGATGAAGATATGATGATAGGGGTTATTTATTGACCCTGCGGAATGATCCAACGGCTACGGTGAAACCAAGTTTGGTGTAATGGATGGTTAGATTTTAACGATAGATGGTCGGCAGATGATTCTCGAATTTGTAAACGTGGTTGGTTGTCGTTCTGTCACGCAAGTGTTTTGACTATTATGCCCTTGGATTCTTGTTAGGATGTCACGTGATTAATGGTTATCTTTCCTGACGACCTAAAATTGGAAATAAGAAATGAATGAACCAGAAATATAATAATTCGAATATATTCGAGTTAGCTGCAAATTTGTTCGTGTAATTTACATAAATTAATAATTAAGTTTTTAAAAAATTATCATTAAAAGATATTTTTATAGTTTTATTTTTATAGTGAATATGGTCTTTCCTGTTAACTCTTTCAGCTAAATTTCTTTTACTGAGAAAAGATTGTATCGATTCATCCTTTTATCCTTTAACTTTTATTTTTAATAACAGATTTGATCTTTCATACTACTTTTTATTTTATAAAAGATTTGATACCTCAAACTTTTTATTATTATAACGAATTTGATCTCATAAACTATTTTTCATTTTTATAACAAATTTGATCACTCCCTCAATTTTTATTTTTAAGATTTGGTCCCTCCCTTCGAATCAATAAAACTCATTTTAGTTAGTTGAAAATTAAAAAAACAACCTTGAAACTAAACAACCAATAATATACTAAATAATAAGATATAAAACTATAAGTTTAACTAATTATTTATATAAACTAAGGTGGTGTTTGTTTTTTAAGAGGTGCTGAAGTCTGAAGTCTGATTTCACTTCTGATTTATAAGAGGTGGTGCTGAAGTCTGAAATCTGAATCAGTCAGACTGTTTGTTTTTACGTCTGAAGTCTGAAATCTGAATCAGTCAGACTGTTTGTTTTTACGTCTGAAGTCTGAAATCTGAATCAATATAAACACAAAAAGTCTCATAACGACTAGAACCAATATTCATATTGCATTAATTGTGTCGCCATCATCCCTTGCTCATTGGTTTGATCATACTCAGAAAATAACTCATATATAGGAGAAATCGATTTGTAGAGATCGTTTTGGATAGATTGGTAGCTTGAGACCGAGCGAGAGATCGATATGGTGTCTAGATCGTATGATGTGGGATAGATCGGTATGATTTGGTAGCTGGAAATCAAGCGAGAGAACGAGAGATCGATATGGTGTGTGAGTAAGAGTCCATTAAGAGTTTAGACTACCACTTAAAAATTCAGAGGACAATCAGAGTTTTTCAGCTCTTATTTTCAAAAAAAATCAAATGGTCTGAAAATAAAAACGTTTGACCGATTCAGACTTAAGAGGTATTAAGAGCTTTTTTTAAAAAAACAAACAAGCCCTAAAAATGGTTATAATTAATGAAATAATAAATATATAAAAAAGTTATAATTTAACATTAATCGACTGAGGATTAATAGTGTTATTATTATGTGTTAAATTATAACACCATTCATCATAGTAACACTAATAATCTTCAATCAGTTAGTACTAAATTAGATTATTGTTATATGTTTTACAAATATTATTAGTTATAATTTAACCATAACCATTTTTAGGGGCTGTTTACTAAACGCTTACCGACTAATTTTTCTTATCTGATGAACTTAGCAAAGGTAAAAAAACATTACCCGGTAAGAACAATGATAAAGATGGAGAGTCTTAATCGGTAAGTGAGGGTGACGACTCTTACATAAATAAGTGTTTGTCAGGTAAATTGTTGCATATGCTACCATTTTAATGGACTACAATCTTACCCAGTAAAGATTGGCTGAGACGCTCTCCAGGTGAAGGCGACCGGCGACCTTTCGTCTCCCCGGCATAAAGAGGCGTCAGGCGACCGGCGAGAAGAAGCGACCGGTGAGTAGAGGTGACAGGCGGCCGGCGAGAAGAGGAGAGAGGCGTGAAGAGGCGACAGGCGTCCGGCGACCTTTCGTATTCCCGGCGTTAATTCAGCAAGATTTTGTGCGGCACCAGCTTGTATTGGCTTTAGCGATGGCGGGGAAGAAAGGTATGGCAGAATCCGACGGTTGGTAGACGGTAAACAGAAAGGGTAAGCGTCGAGGTAGGGTTTCGAACTTCTTCTTCACTAGATTTCCAGAAATTGGGATGAGGTTGCTTTGGAGAATATGTTCATAAGATATGGTCGGATTACATCCTTATACTTAGCAGAAAGAAAACAAGCAAGGGAACCAGATTTGGTTTTGTTAGATTCCTTCATGATGGTGATGAGAAAGCTTTGGAACGGAAGCTTAGAAACATCACTATAGATTCGGTGAGGATGATCATCAATCTGGAGAAGTATGGCCGTGAGAAAAAAAAAGCTAAACATGGGGGGAAAATCGAACTTGCAGGCTAAAATGGACAATAGAAAGAGGCTTGGAACCCGACTCATAAACACGATGCTTTCTTCAAGTCAGGATGTGTGGATGGTAGGTCTTTTAAGCAGGATGTTCTTGGCGAGACGCCTTTGAAAGGTGAAGGAAAAATTATCAAAGCTGAAATTAACATGGATTACGTGGTAGGCTGTGCAAGAGTTGGGTGGGAAGGGTCAAGAGCATTGACTTGCTTAGAAACTTAAAGAAAATTTTGCACGAAGATGGCATGGGCGAGTGCAAATTGCAATATATGGGTGGTATTTTTGTTCTTTGCAAATGGAGCTCAAAAGAGGTGGCTGAGAAGAGTTTAGTTGAAAATAAAGACATGTTAAATTACTGGTTCCAGGATATTAAAATGTGGAATGAAAAGCTTATTTTTCAGGAGAGATTAACTTGGATTGATATCCAAGGTTTACCTTTAGAAGCCTGGTGTGACGTAAATATTAGAAGAATAGCAGAGCCTTTTGGGGAGATTCTTGAAATCGATAAGCCGTCTTTCCATAATGATATGGTTTGTTCTTTTGGTGTCCTGTTAGCTACTGGTATGGCTTGCTTGAATTCGGTGGTGAAGGTGAAAGTAGGTGAAAAAATGTGTTCTGTGAAGGTTTTTGAGGATCATAACCGCATAATCTTATTGCCTCCTTCAAATGATGTTCGATCTGGGTTTTTTTTCGGAGTGTGAGGATGACGTTGGCTCAAGCGGCGGCATATCAAACTCTTTTTCTGATGACTATGTATCACCGGAATTCTCGGAAAAAATGGATGAAGGGTTCAAAAAGCGTTCATGGGATGAAGACAAGTCTTCTGGGAAGTCCGTTCCTTTTGATACCAAGAATGTTTTGACTGATAATCAAAACCCGGGTTCGGGTGGAAGCCCGAAGCATCAGGCCCAATGTTTCTCTTCCAGAATTTCTTCGGAAGCCCGTCACCAACAGGCCCATTTTAATAAAAAAGTTGTTTCTGGACTTGAATTCTGTGGCAATTACAGATCTTCATCTTCCCATAGCTCTCAGCCTATTTCTGTTGATGTTGTGGCGGATTCAAAGGAGGCAATCGGAAACGCTATCGGAGTTCATTACAATGAGGAGGAAGCAAAGGGAGCCAAAAGCAGAAGGCAAGGCGTTTCTCTGCGCTGATCTGCTGTTGTTTTCGATTTTTTGGGGGAACTTTTCTTTTTAATGAAGATTTTATCCTTAAATTGTCATGGGCTAAAAGCCATTGGAAAGTCTGGCGGTATAAAGGAGCTTATGCAAAACGAGAAGTGTTCTGTGTTGGGTTTACAGGTTTTTCTGATGTCTGGTTTGCATCAATTTGGAGATGCAGGAGCTGTGGCTATGTCTTTGTGAGTGCTTCTGGTCGTTCTGGGGGCATTCTTTTATCTTGGGATGAAAGTGTATTCTGTAACGAGTCAGATTCTAACTTTTTCTCTATTTGGAAAGATCCTTTCGTACAGGTCTTACATAGATCTATTTCTGATCACTGCCCCATTCTTTTGAAAGTTAATGACTTTAATATGGGGCCCAAACCGTTTAGAGTTTTTGACTCATGGTTGGGTGTCGATGATTTTCAAAAAGTGGTTTTTCGTCTTGGTCTTCAAGCTCTTTCTATGGGGTTGCTGATTTTGTCTTTAAGGAAAAGGTTAAAGCTCTCAAGAAAGACTTGAGAATGTGGTCAAAAAAAAAATTTAGCCAGTGAATCAAAAAGAAAAGATGAGATTTTTAAAGCTTTGGTTGATTGGGATTCTAAAGCTGAAAAGGGGGGTATTTCTGTAGCCGATTGCCAAAAGAGAGATGAATGGATTTTTGAAACGATGCTTTTGGAAAATCGTGCAAAGTTGGATCTCAATCAAAAATCACGGTCTAAGTGGGCTTTAGAAGGGGATGAAAATACCAAGTTTTTTCATAATGTTGTTAATCAGCGTTGGAAAAGGAATAAAATTAAATGGATTTTTTGTAACGGGATTTGGAACTCTGATCCTTTGGTCGTCAAAGATGCTTTCTTACAGCACTTTGCAAATAGATTCAAAGAACCTTGCTCCTCTAGGCCCAAGTTTTTCAGCCCTCTCTTCTCTAAATTATCGTTTAATGATGCCGCTTTTCTGGAATCGCCTTTTTCTGCTTCGGAAATAAAGGAGGTTGCTTGGTCTTATAATGGGTCGAAAGCTTCGGGGCCTGATGGCTTAAATTTCAATTTTATTAAGAAGTTCTGGTCAGTTATTGGCAGGTCTATAGTTGATGCGGTTGCGTTCTTTGAAAAATCGGGCAGGATTTCCAGGGGATGTAACGCTTCTTTCATTGCTTTGATTCCTAAAAAAATTGATCCCTTGGATATCTCAGACTTTAGGCCCATCAGTTTACTCGGTTGGATGTACAAAATAATTGCTAAGCTTMTGGCTAATAGATTGGTGAAGGTTATGAACAAGCTCGTCAGTGACAATCAATCTGCCTACATCCCGGGAAAGCAAATGTTGGATGGGTGTTTATTAGCAAATGAAATTGTGAATCACGCCAAAAAGAAGAATACGAAAATGTTTCTTTTCAAAGTGGATTTTGAAAAGGCTTATGATTCTGTA